AAAAAAAAAAAAAAAAAAAAAAAAAAAAAAAAAAAAAAAAAAAAAAAAAAAAAAAAAAAAAAAAAACACGTAAATTTTGAGAGTTTTGAGCTTCTTTAGACAAGCATTTTATCGGGGGCCTGGAAATGGGGAGAGCAGTATTGAGAATGCCTTTGGGTGAATCATAGGTAACATGGCCTAAAGCTGCTAGAAGCTGGTCAAGAAGATTCTTCTGTCACCATACTGTACACCAGAGAGATGTAGGAAACAGACTTGAGATCCTTCCTTTGGGGGGGGGGGGTGGATTTACAGTCTGGCAAAACAATCAACTAAACACATAATAACAATAACCTGCAGACTTCTTAAGTGTGCTTCCTGAAACACTGACATCATCAGGGGACAGAGGTCTAAATAGTCCATGAGAAGAGAACATATATCTCTCTCCATCAGACCATTAGCATAGAACTTACTCAGCCTGAAGTGATAAAAAAAAAAAAAAGCTTCCCTGAGAAAGAAAAACTAAAATCAAAACCTAAAAATTAATTCCTCGGTCTCTTTATAAGTGAAGGGACAACTTCGCGGACAGCTTGCTCACCTCAGAAAAACCCAAATTCCAAAACTATCACTTTGAGATTTTTATTTGTTTGTTTGTTTTCGAGGCAGGGTTTCTCTGTGAAACAGTCCTAGCTGTCCTGGAACTAGCTCTTGTAGACCAGGCTGGCCTCGAACTCACAGAGGTCTGCCTGCCTCTGACTCCCAAGTGCTGGGATTAAAGGCGTGTGTCACCACTGCCCGGCTCTCACCATATGATCTTTAAAAAAAAAATGTTAGACCACAAAAGGAAGAAAGAAAAGCTAAATAATAATTAAGGAGAGTAAAAAAAGACCAAAAAGGGCTCAGAACAAGATATACCCTTCAATGTCATGTCTGCAGTGGTCTTCTATCCGGTTCCCTTTCGTGGACTCCACTCCTCCCAGTAACACCATCGGATTAAGAGTCCATTGATGCGGTGGTGGCTCACACCTTCAATCCCAGTACTCAGGAGGCAGAGACACAAGCAGAGTTCCAGGACAGCCAGGGTTACACAGAGAAACCTTGTCTTAAATCCCCCACCCCCAACAAAAAAGTGTCCACCGACAGGGACTGAAGATGTAGCTCAGCCTGGGCTACACAGAGAGTTTCAAGGAAACCTGGGCTATAATGATATAAATAAATGAATAAAAATCTCTATAGCCAGGTATCTTAGAACATAGCTTTAATTTTTACATTATGAGACTCAAAGCTCAAATACGAAATTTCCTCATTCAGTTCCGAGAGTGACTACTCTCTCTACTGGATGAACTAATGAATGAATGAGGTGGTGATATCATCTGTCTTAGTTATTTTTCTGTTGTGAGAAAACACCGTGACCAAGACAATTCATGAAAGAACGCTTTTCATTGGGCTTATGGCTCCAGAGGGTCAGAGTCCATGACGGCGGCGGGGCATGGCGACAGGACCAGCTGAGGTCTCACGTCAGGATCGGAAAGCAGAAGGCAGAGGGGGCCCACTGGGAATGGTGGGAGGTTTCTGAAGCTCCCAAATCATGATACGGAGACTTAATAATCGTTATGAATGCTTGACCTTATCTTATGCTTGTTCAACTAGCTATTGAAACTCAAACTAACCTGTTTGTCTTCATCTATGTTCTGCCTCGGGGTTTTTTACCTTTCTTCATGTGGTATGTCCTACTCAGTGTCTGGCTGGCTGGTTCCAGGAGTCTCTCTCCCTCGTTCTCTCTCCTCTCTCTCTAGCCTGACTCCTCCTACTACCTATTCTCTCTGCCACCAGCCCTGCCTATCCTTCCACTGCCTAGTCATCATCCATTCAGCTTTTTAGTAGACCAATCAGGTGCCACAGGCAGGCATTGAACAAAAGCAGCATATACAAATGTAACACATCTTTACATAGTTAAAGTAATATTCCATGCCGAGCAGTGGTGGTACATGCTTTTAATCCCAGCACACGGGAAGCAGGGGCAGGCGGATCTCTGTGAGTTCGAAGACAGTCTGGTCTATAAGAGCTAGTTCCAAGACAGGCTCCAAAGCTACAGAGAAACCCTATCTTGAAAAACAAAACAAATTTTCCACAACATTCCAAAGTCTGCCCCCAGGACACATCTCCTACAACAAGACCACACCTCTTAACCCTTTCTAAACAGTTCCACCAACTAGAGACCATGATTCAAACTTATGAGCCTATGGGGACAACATTGTCCGAGCCTTGTTAGTTTCTCAACTCACAATACCGGATGTAGAGTCATATTGAGATGCCAAGTCCAAATTACCTCTTTCACCCTGAAGCAAGTCAGGAAGCCCTCCAAAATCATGATATTTTGGCATAAAGATTACCTTGAGTTAAAGGCAACCGAGCAGAATCATATATATACTCCCGCCCTCCCACTGTCTGTATCAAAACAGGACATGGGTTTCCAAGGTGTCCTTCCTCCCCTTCGCTTCCTATCAGTTAATACAGAAGCAAATTGCCAGCGAGAACTTTAGATCTTTATCAAACCAGAACTGGAAAGATTTCACACATTGCTAAACTATAATCCGTCTTTCGTATTTTGATTTGTGGCCTTTGAGAACTGAAAACCACTTTCTTCCTGTCATTTCTCTACAAATTTATTGCTCTCTGTGGATGACTGCTAGACAGCCCAAATTATAAGCCACTTTAAGTTATTTTTCCCTGGTTGTTCATAAACTTGTGGTACTCATGTTCATAAACTTTTTTTAATTTTTTTTTTTTCCGAGACAGGGTTTCTCTGTAGCTTTGGAGCCTGTCCTGGAACTAGCTCTGTAGACCAGGCTGGCCTCGAACTCACAGAGATCCGCCTGCCTATGCCTCCTGAGTGCTGGGATTAAAAGGCATAGGCCACCACCGCCCAGCAAACTTTTTTCTTTTTATGAGACAGGGTTATATGTAGCTCAAGCTGGCTTCAAACCGGGTATGTAGCCAAGGCTGACTGTGAACACCTGATCTTCCTTGCCAGCATCTCCCAAGTGCTGGAATTTAAAGACAACGCCTGTCAGCTTTCCCTCAACAACCTGTGTGCTGTTAAGAGCAGGGAACCAAGAAAGGCAGAGCGGCAGGCTTTCTTTTCCCTACAGCTCTATGGAGGTCTCTGGGTTCAGTCTGGCTGTCTCTGTTTATCTCTTGCTAGGGACGGGATTAAACCCAGGGCCTCTTGCACGCCAGGCGAGTGCTCTACCACTGGGCAGTTCTTATTCTTCAGCCATCTACTTTCTAGATTCCATTCAGATCACTTTTCTTTTTTTTTTTTTTGATCAAGTAGGTATAGTGATAGGGTGATGAAACCAGGGTTTTCTGAGGTAAATCCCATATAGTGGGGAAATGGTTTGTGAAAACTTGGACAATTCCTAAATTCCCTGGCTAAAGGCGTTGCCCTTCTGAGTCGGCCCTCTAAGAGTATCCTGCCACTGATTTGGCTTGATTGGGAATTTTTGCGTCGTCAGAGAGCTCGCTTAGGAAATATTCCCAACACCTAGTTGCCAGGTTGGAGGTAGACGCTCACTTGCGTGTTTTCAGGTCAGAAACTAAAGTGGGCCAGAAGAGAGTTCTGAGTACTTGTTTCTCCATGAGGAACCAGTTCCTCTGCAATACCGAGATACCCACAAAGCCTGCATGCAATGTCTCCTTGATTTAAAAGCCTCCTTAATTAAATCGTTCGGGAAGAACTCATTGAGCTGGGGACAAGTTCTTACATAGGATTTTGGGCAGGGTGCCATAGAATTCTAGCGCCAGACAGATGAAAAAAAAATTAAGTCACAGAGAAATCAGGTTAGCGGACACCAAATAGAGTTTCACCCCTTAATTTTGTTCAGACATGATGACCTGGGTTAGCTAGCTTGTGCCATTTGATCCTTCCGCAGGGACGCACACTTTGGGCCAATGAGGTAGCTTGGTGGGGTTTCCCATCAACGCGCTCTCACGGTGACCACTTTGCACAGGCCAGTCTCTTCCCTGTGCCCATCTCAAAGATGGCGGCCGCGCCACTGCCCGGTCTCTACCCGTCTCCAAAATGGCCGCCCCGCCCCGCCCACTCCCTCCCCTCCGGGACTGCGCAGCACGCTCCCGCCGCCCCTCCCTCCCGAACTCCACCCAGGTCGCAGGCTGCGCGGTCGGTGGCCGCGATTTCCCGCCATTGTGAGAAGTGGAGGTGGGGACCACTGCGCCGCTCCTGCCACGGGTCAGCAGCTCCGAGGCGCTCGTCACCGCGGCAGCGTCTCCCGGAGGCCCGCGGCTCGCGACGCCCCGCGCGTGGGAGGGCGCGGACGAGCCCCCGAGGAGCCGCCGGGTTCCGAGCGCGCTCGGCCCACGGAGAAGCGCCGCACGGGCCGCGCTGGCCCCGGCTCTCAGCGCCATGCCCTGTGGAGAAGACTGGCTGAGCCACCCGCTCGGCATCGTGCAGGGCTTCTTCGGTGAGTGGCGCGCGGCGAGCGAGTTGGCGTGGCCGGGCCTGTGGCGCGGCCGCCACCGGGACGACGGCCCGAGGGATCACCGCCGAGGTGATCGCGGGGCCCTGGGCCTGGCAGCCGAGCCGGGGACAGCCCTCTCGGGTCGCGGCCGCAGGTGCCACCACCTGCCCGCTGCCCGGCTCCCGCTGGCGGGCGGCGGGGGACCTAGTTGCGAGCGCTGGCTGTGATTGACGGCCTGGCTCCTGGCTGGTGGCCTACCTAGCCCGGGTGCTGCAGGCGCGGAGAGGTCCCCTTGCCCACCGAGTGCTCCGAGAGCGGCGGCGGAGGGAAGCCACTCTGCCTGTGGGAGCCCGCAGGATATTTCAAAACTTCCGGTGTGTGTGGGGGGTGTGTGTGTGTTGGGTGCTCGATCCATCGCGCAGAAGTTCATTGTGCCCCTGTTTCCACATGTCCCCCTCGAGATAGGTGGCAATGCCTCGTTTTTCTGTCCTGTTGACTTTAGAACGCGCCGGCTTTGTGGCCCGCTCGCGTGCCCCTGCGGGGGCTAGCGAGAGATACTCAGCTGTTTACAAGCGTTTCTCCCGAGCGCGAGCCGGGAGTGCTGCAGGCAAGCGGGAGTAAATGTTAGCTGTCATTGTCGTCGTTACTCTTGTAGTTAACTAGACCTTCCGATTCCCACTCTCATCCCTATTTTCGTTTTGCTCAGGGACGACGGAGTCAAGACTTGACTCGAAACCACTGACAGATCGGCAGCATTTGACTTGCATGGCATTAAAGGGCTGTGGGATTCTCTCGTATCGTTTAAAACATAGTGAGGGGGCAGAGGGGTATTTCATTGTAAAGTCCATAGTTAGCATGTGCAAAGGCCCTGGGTTCAGTCCCTACACACGCACCCTGACGTGTTAGCGAAGGGTTAGTAAGAAGCTATGGTCCTCAGCAGCCCGTAACCGATTTCTCCTAGACAGCTGCAGACTGGCCCGGGACTCATCGTATAGCCCAGGCTAGTTGAACTCCTGTCGTTTCTCTTGCCTCAGCGTCCTAAGTGCTGGGCTCTCAGCCCTGTGCCACCTTTCTCCGTGGGAAGTTTCCTGTAGTAGGGCCTCCATGCTCCCGCAGCAACCGTTTATTCTGCCTAGAATTCTAACCAACCCTGTTGTTTCCCAGGGTGAAACTATAAAGCCGCAGATAGAAGGACTGTAGTCAGAAAACTCAGAATCTGATGAAGAGGGGGAGTGTGTAACCCCAGGAAAGACTAAAACATGGGCATGGGATGTGCTCAATGGGAGAATGCATGCCTGGCCTGCCGGCTGGTCTGGGTACACTGCAGGCCGAGAGAAGCAGATTCCTATGTAGCAATCTAGGGTGGTTTTCAAAGGGAATAGGCGTCTTACCTGTGATTCTGGCACCTGGAAGACAGGCCTAATTGCTAGCTTGAGACTACCCTATATTTTTTTTTTCATTTTTTTTGGGGGGGAGACTACCCTATAAGGTGAGAACCTATCTCTTAAAAAGCGGGGGGGGGGGGGGTGTTCTTTCACTTAACGCTAGTAATTGAAGTTCAAAATATTGAACCCAACAATTGGTGTTGAGAATAATAATGACTCCCAGATGGCGAGTGAGGATCCGATTCCCTACTGGCTGAAGGTGCAAATGGCACAGACACGCTTTAGGACAAATCCTTCCATAGTTGAAGGTTTGGGACATAAAAGGGTTAAGTTCACCCATGACTGTTTTCGAATTCTCTTCCCATTTCTTTGAGACAGGATCTCTAGCCCAGGCTGGCCTGGGGCTCATAGCTGCCTCAGCCTATGGAGTGCTGGCATCACTAGCTGACCACCTTGCCCAGCCAGAGAAATATTCCAGTACCCTGGACTGCTGTAGGGATAAAGTGGTTTTAAATATAATACTATTAGATATATTTCTTTTTTTTCTTTAAAAAAAAATTTATTTATTTATTTAGTATACAATATTCTGTCTGTGTGTGTGCAGGCCACAAGGGGGCACCAGACATCATTACAAATGGTTGTGAGCCACCATGTGGTTGCCGGGAATTGAACTCAGGCAATGCTCTTAACCACTGAGCCATCTCTCCAGCCCCCTATTAGATATATTTCTGTCATATTTTGTTCCTTAAGTGTGATCCTAAGGTCACGCATCTTTTCATAGTGCAGGAAAACCCATACTTTGGTTATAAATACTACAGTATTTTGCATATTGAATGGAAAGCAAATGGAAGGACATTGACTGGTTCTTTGTATAGTGAAGGAGAGCGTTCTCCTGTCTCCAAACTGCGGAACTACAGTTGTGGCCATTATACCCTGTTCTAGAGCTTCTTAAAATTGAAAGATGCGATGTTTATGTTATCTTGATATATGTTTTCATATTTATATATTTATTTTTGCTTTTTGGGGGGACAGGGTTTCTTTGTGTAAGAGTCCTGGCTGTCCTGGCACTAGCTCTGTAGGTCCGGCTGGCCTCGAACTCACTGAGGTCCATCTGCCACCATGTGGGTTACTGGGAATTGAACTCAGGACCTTTGGAAGAGCAGGCAATGCTCTTAACCTCTGAGCCATCTCTCCAGCCCTTCTTAGTATGTCTTGAACATCTTCCCATCTTAGGGAATTTATTTCGGCATTCTGAATGTCCTGGTGTATATTGTTAGACAAATTTCTTATCCTGTCATATATCTTAAATTAGGTGACTAATCCAGAACTGTGTTGTCTGATACAGCAGCCACTTACTTAAATTAGTGAAAATTACACAAAATTAAAGGTTAAATTCCTTGTTGTTACTACTTTTCAGATGCTTATTAGCTTCTTGTGGGTAGAGACTGTAAGAGGCTGCAGAGTTGTAGAATCTTAGACTTATTTTTAACTGTGTCTGTGTGTTAGTGTGTGGATCTGTGCCTGTGAGTGGAGTTGCCCCTAGAAGCCAGTGGTATTGGAACCCCTCCCTCCACATGCAAAACAAACTGAAGTTACAGGCTATTGTGGGCTCCCAACATGAGTGTTTGGGAACCAAATCAGGTCCTCTGAAAGAGCAGGTCTCCATCTTAACTCCAGAACCATCTCCCTAGCCGCAAGCCTGTGCTCTTAGTTGGGATCTTGCTGTGGAGTCCGGGCTAGCCTTGAACTCACTGTGTAGCTCAGGCTGCCCTTAGACTTCATCTGCCTCACCACCTAAATGCTGGTATTACAGGCATGTGCCTCCACACCCAGTTTCTGTCAGAATATTGTATCAGCTTTAATTATTAAATATTTCTTGTACCACCACACCCAGCTTTGGTCAGTGTGTTGTATCAGCTTTAGATTTACTAAATATCTCTTGACCCTGTCCAGAAATCTTCATCTTCAACACTGTTGTCATAGCCCAGGATCTGTGGTCCTCTGCGACAGCCTCCTTTCTTGTTTCTAGTATAGCTTCTCTGCTGTACTGGAACCAGTGGCTGTCAGTCGCTTCTAGAGACTTTTCCCCCTTGAGTTTTAGTTTCTTTAGGTAGCCCCAGCCCCATCCTTCTGCTTCAGCCTCAGTGCGGAGGTTACAAGCATACCCCTCTACACCCAAACTTCCATTGAACGTGGTATATTATTACCTTAGTATGTGATCTATTTACTTTTTTCTTCTCTGGTACCCACCACCTAACCCAGGCTGGTCTTGAGCCTTCCAACTTCTGGGATTCTAAGCATGTACTATCACTTCTGGCTTTTATCTAAATGTCTTCTGAGGTGTTTTTATATCTACTTGTATATTTCTCCAAGGATATATGTACATGTATAGGTGCCTTTGGATAGTAGAAGTTACAGGCAGTTGTGAGTCTTTCTCTGTGGGTGCTAGGGAATGTTTTTTACTCTAGTTTTCCTCATTTTTCATTTATTTTCTTGTTGTTTTTTTTTTTTGAGTCAGTGTTTGTGGAGCTCAGGTTGACCTCCAGCTCACTCTAACCAATGCTGTTTCTGGCCTCCATGTGCTGGGAGGCATGTATCACCATGCCTGATCACTCTTCCCCTGTAGTAACAATTTGGATTATTAACCATTCATACTTTGAGACCAGATCTTGTCAGACTGGCATCCAACTCCTTCAGCTTCTAAGTAGCTGGGACTAAAGGCACGTGCCACCTCTCCTATCCATAGGGAGGGAGGGGGGAAGACTGTGTGCACACACATGCATGTGAAGACCAGAATACAGCTTTTGGGGATTAGTTCTTTCTGTCCCGTGTGGTTCCAGTGTTTGGTCATCAGGCTCGACAGCAAGCGTGCGAGCGGTCTTGTCCAGGGAGCCATCTCACTGGCCACACGACCGCTTCATTTCATGCTGCCTACAGCTGCCTCCTCTCGAGGGTGTTTTAGTGTTGGCTTAATTTGGTGTCTTGGTTGAATCTAATGTTCAAGGCTGACAAGCCTGTAAAGGAGGGGAAGCCTGAGTGTCTGATCACTGGTCTTTTCAAGCATTCTAAGCAGTGATGAGATCCAGTGAGATCCAGTCTGATTTTGTATTCACCGTGTATTCACCGTGAACCCAGGCAGTTCACAGTCAGTGTCTGAGGCCAGCTTGGAGCTCCTCTCTCTACCACTCTGCTCTCGGTAGGCACTAAACACTAATTATGGTAAGGCTAGAGCCCCAAGACTGTGGGAAGGGACCTGGGTGTTTTGAGGAACTGAGCAGAATCAGGCCCTAGGTTTAGGAAGAGGAAGTTCAGGCAGCTCTCTCAAGGACACTCAATTTTGTGTTTTAACTTGCTGTTTTTCTTCTCCATAGCCCACAGATTCACTTGTTCTCAGTTCCAGCCCACACCTACCTTTGTCCCCAATTCTAGATTTTCTCTCTTCTTGGCCCAGCATAGAGTCGACTGTTACCCCATGATTACTGACAACTCTGATGGCTGTAAGAGTTCGTGGGATAGTCACGTCTCTTGAGGCCTGCCTTAACGGCGGGGAGAGTCTCAGAGGAGTGAATTGAGCAACCATGGCAAAATGCATATTTAAGTTCTAATAAAATCATGTGCTTAAATGGCCAATACATACCTGTTAAGTAAGTTCTGTTCTCCTGTTGAGTGAAACTCCTTTTATCATTTGATTTTTTTTTTTTTAAACAGGGTTTTACTTACTATGTAGACCAGGCAGTCCTCACAAGAAATCCATATACTTGCCTCTGCCTACCAAGTGCTGGGATTAAAGATTTGTAGTATCAAGCCTGACCCAGGTTGAGCTGGAAACTTTCAACTGTTCTTGCTTTCTAGTGTTTTGAGGGTGCCAAAACATTTTTATTCAGATATAATTCACATAAAATTTGCAATTTAGGCATATATGTTTGACCTGGTGATATAAGGCCTGTCTGGCAAACCAATGAAAATCTGTCTCAAGATAAAAAACCTGAGGATATAGCTGAGTGTTATTGGTATTATGTGGAGCCTTAGGTTTAATAACTACTAAATTATATAAATAGGTATTTAATGATTTTTAATTTTGTCTGAAAGGGGGTGGTTTATGGGCACAGGAGTGCCACAGTACATGTGTAGAGGTCAGAGGACAACCTGTAGGAGTTGGTTCTTTTCCTGCTACTGTCTGGGTTCCGGTGATCAGACTCGGGTCATTGGGCTTGGCAGTAAGCAACCTGAACCACTAAGCCATCGCTAGCATTTTTTGTTTGTTTGTTTGGGTGTAACAGACTTTCTTTCGGACCATCAACCAGCTCCCAGATTATGACACGGAGACTTACTAGCTGTGAATATTTGATTTGGCCTTAGCTTAGGCTCACTTTTTGCAAGCTTTTTTTTTTTTTTTTTTAATTGTGTATACAATATTCTGTCTGTGTATGTCTGCAGGCCAGAAGAGGGCACCAGACCTCCTTACAGATGGTCGTGAGCCACCATGTGGTTGCTGGGAATTGAACTCAGGACCTTTGGAAGAGCAGGCAATGCTCTTAACCACTGAGCCATCTCTCCAGCCCCTTTTTGCAAGCTCTTATAATTCAACCCCTTTCTCTTTATCTGTTTTGCCTCAGGGCTTTTTACCTTTCTTTCCTTTTGTATATCTTACTTTCACTGCTTCTTTTTTCTTGTGCAGCTTTGGTGCCTGCCCTGGAACTAACTCTTGTGGACCAGACTGGCCTTGAACTCACAGAAATCAGGCGTGCACCACCACCTCTGGGTTCTCTGCTTCCCGTGGCTGGCGACTGCCTGGCTTATGGCCCTGGGTGGGTGCCTCTCTTTCTCCCTTGTTCTTTCCTCCTCTTTCTCATTCTTTCTGCCTGCCAGCACCCTGCCTACCTATCGGTTGTTCATCTTTTTATTAGATCAGTTAGGTGCCTTAGGCAGGCAAAGTGGACAAATGCCTAGTTAAAATAGTATTCCACAACATTTGGCTTTTTTTCTTGTTGTTATTTTGGTGGGTTTTTTTTTTGTGTTTGCTTATTATATCTATATAATTTTTAATTTTTAAAAACATTTTTATATACAAGTCTTTATGAATTAATGCATACAATATAGACAAATATACACTGATGTATATAGGTTTTGGTTTCTGACCTTTTTTTGCTTGTTTGTTTTAAATATTTTTTTAAATTTATTTATTTATTTTGGTTTTCAATTTTTCAAGACAGGGTTCCTCTGTGTAGCTTTGGAGTCTGTCCTGGAACTTACTCTATAGACCAAGCTGGCCTTGAACTCACAGCTTTCACCTGCCTCTGCCTCCCAAGGGCTGGGATTAAAGGAGTGCACCACCACTGTCCAGATTTTTTAAGCACTTGCTACTCTCACAGAGCACCCAATCTTTCTTCCTTCCTTCCTTCCTTCCTTTTTACATGTAAGCCCGCATGTCAGAGAGGGCACCAGATCTCATTATAGATATTTGTGAGCAACCATTTGGTTGCTGGGAATTGAACAAAGGACACCTGGGTGAGCAACCAGTGCTCTTAACCCCTGAGCCATCTTCCCAGCCTGTTTCTTTGGTATTTTTATAATGTTGTACAACCAGCACCACTGTCATTTCCATCATCCCAAAAGAATTGCACACGTGTGCGCACACTCACACACACACAGCCAAACACACCTCCAGTGCTTTAGCAGTTACCATCCTAAACATACTCTGGACACTTTTTATTTAAGTAGAGTCATAACATGTAGTCTTAGGGGCTGCTTTCTTTCATTTAGAATATTTTCATGTTTTATCCGTGTTTGAGCATGAATTTCTTTTTGTGACTGAAAATAATTTCCTTCTGTATATGATTGTAAACGATTTTGTTTAGGTACTGGTGACTAGATGCTCTTCCAGAGGGCCCAAGTTGGATTCACAGTACTCGTGTGGCAGTTCACACCTGTCTGTAACCCCAGTTCCAGGGGCTGAGATGCTTTCTTTTGTGCTCCACGACACCAGGCATATATGTGGTACAGAAACATGGATGTAGGCAAAACACTCACTTACAAATTAAGGAATAATTTTAAAGATTTTTGTTTATTCATTCACTCCTTAATGGTCTCTGAATCGACTTCTGCCTTGAGTTTCTGACCTGACTTCCTGGATGATGGAGTGCCATCAGTAAGATGAATTAAACCTTTTCCTCCCCAAGTTACTTTTGTTCCTGTGTTTATCACAGCAATAGAAACACTAAGACACATGCATTCTGATGTCTCCAGATCTTTTCTTACTGCTTAATTTCTTGTTCGTGATAGTCATTTGGGTAGGAGTAAAGGTATATGCTGCTGTTTTTTTCCCCTTTAAATATGGAACACAACAAATTTGAATGTCATCCTTGTACATGGGCCATGCTAATCTCTGTATTGTTCCAGTTTTAGTATATGTGCTGCTGAAGTGAACACGCTGTTGGGATTTTTATTTTTTAAATTTTTTTTTTTAAGAAAATAATTCTCGCTGGTGGTGGTGCACGCCTTTAATCCCAGCACTCGGGAGGCAGAGGCAGGCGGATCTCTGTGAGTTCGAGGCCAGCCTGGTCTAAAAAAAAAAAAAGAAAAGAAAATAAATTTCTCCAATAATAAATAATACCTTGTGTGTGTATATTGCCATTTTGGTATACTCTCGGAAGACATGTCTGTTGAGAATCTGGGTGTGGTCCCATGCCTGTAATCTTAGCACTTGGAATAAAGTTTGGTTTGCTGCAGGTCTGTCTGAGATCAGCCTGAGCTACGTAACTGCATTCTAGACCATCTGTTTAAGTCCTTTGCAGCCAATGAGTAGGTGAGGCAGCATTTCGTGTATTCCAGGCTGGCGGTGTGCATGCTAGGCAACCACTCTACCAACTGATCTGGTTCCAGCCTCTTCCTTCTTACTTTTTAAAACCAGATCTCATGTATTCCAGGCCAGCGTTAGACTCACTATGTAGGTAAAATTTGTAAATTTCCCTTTTTCTTGTGAATTGTGGGATTTTGTTTTCTTCTCTCTAGTTCACAAGCAAAGCCAGGAATTGAACTCAGGTCTTTTTGCTTGATACAGAGAATTTTCTCCCCCTTAGCAATCCTGGCTATGAGTTTTTGTTTTGTTTTTGGTTTTTCGAGACAGGGTTTCGCTGTAGTTTTAGAGCCTGTCCTGGAACTAGCTCTTGTAGACCAAGCTGGCCTTGAACTCAGAGAACCGCCTGCCTCTGCCTCCAAGTGCTGGGATTAAAGGCTGCACCATCAGTGCCAGGCTTCCCACTGTAAGTTTTTAATTTTGATAAAGTAACTTATCCTCCTTTTGGTTGCTCATATTTTGGGGTGTCCATATATTTGCCCATCGCCCCCTTTTTTTAATAGTGAATGATCTTTTTACTGATAGCTGTCCAGTTTTCCCAGTCTTATTTGTTGGTGAGACTATCTTTTCCTTATTACAGTTTTGGCACCTTTCTTGAAATATCAGTTGGTCCTACATGGGTGGCTTTATTTTGAACTCCATTTCTACTCTGTGGTCTCTATGATCTTGCTCCTTGCCAGTTCTTCTTGACTGCTATGGCTTTGTGCTATTTTGTTGTTGAGGAGTGGTGTCTGTGTCTGTGTGTGTGTCTGTACATACATGTCCAGTAGACACCAGAGGATGGCATCGGACACCCTGCTCTATCATTCTCCATTTTATTATATTGAAGCAGGGTCTTTTACCAGACCCAAAGCTTCCAGCTTTGGCTGTAGGGGCTGACTCGCCGGTTCCTGACCCTACCTGTCTCCACACCCCGTGTTAGGGTTGTAGGCTCCCATGGCCATACCCAACTTTTTTGTGTGTACTTGTGATTTGAATTCAGATCTTAGCCTGTGTCAGCAAAACCCCCTTTTCAAAAAATGACAACCCTTATCCTCTGGGTTCATACACGTATAACCTGGAATCCCAGCCCTCAAGATGGAAGCAGTAAGAATGCTAATTTCAAGGCCAGCCGGGGCAGCACAGTGAGACTCTAAATAAATAGGTTGGGTGGGAGAGGGTGGAGATTGAGGACTACAGCTTAGTGGAGCATATGATCACCATGTTTGAGACCCTGGATTCCATCTCTAGCATCCTGGGGGAGGGGCAGCTAAGCCTTTGCTGTTACTGCTTATAACCATTATTCTAACCAGTACTTGATTTTACAGCCATTTACGACTGCTTCCATCCATTCTAGTTTTGTTACTTGTATATGATTTTGAAGAATTTATTTAGAGCTGTTTTAAGTTCACAGGAGATATGAAAGGTAGAAGATTTCTGTGGAAGACCTCCCTTCCTCCAAATGATAACGTTTCCAAAGAGAAGTGTATTTGTCACAATGGAGAGATTCTCATTAGGCCAAGGAAATGGCTCACTGTGCTAACTGAATGGCTTGAATTCAATCCCTGGAACCCAGTCTAAAGGTGGGAGGACAGAATGAATTCTAGAGCTGTCCTCTGGACCCGGATTAGATTCCCAGTAACCACATACATAGTAACTGTGACTCCAGTTCCATGAACTCCAATGCCCTCTTCTGACCTCTGCCAGCCCTCACAGTACCACACATACATTCAGGCACCACACCTACATATAAAATAAAATCAATAGTTATTTAAAAACTTGTCCTGTGATCTCTGCACACAAGGCCCTGCCCCAAATATATGTATATAAAGCCTCCATTAACATGGTGCCCTCCAAAGTCCACAGTTTCTCTGCATTGCTGGGGTAGAGCGATAGGAATGCATTCGCCGAGTGCCAGACTCCAGGCTGTCTGCTGTAGCGGCCGCAGCAGTGAATGAAAACTGCTGCTCTTCACAGCTCTGGCTGCCAAGGCAAAGCATTCTTTGCTGACCTGCATCCCGGGACTTGTTCTTTTTACGGAACAGCTTGGACACTTTCTTTTTTTTTTTTTTTTTTTTTGGTTTTTCGAGACAGGGTTTCTCTGTGGCTTTGGAGCCTGTCCTGGAACTAGCTCTGTAGACCAGGCTGGTCTCGAACTCACAGAGATCTGTCTGCCTCTGCCTCCCGAGTGCTGGGATTAAAGGTGTGCGCCACCATCGCCCGGCTAGCTTGGACACTTTCTTATCTGCATGTAATGTGGTTGGTGTTCTGTATAATCGCTATGCTATAGTGCTTACTCTCAATCTGTGTGTGTGTGTGTGTGTGTGTATACACACGTACGCACGAAAGTGCACGCACATGCATGGATACATGTCTCTTTTTTTGACAGTTTCCATCATAGAACAGAAAAGTAGTAAGTCTGTTTTATCCTTATTTTCTTTTGTGGAGTGTGTCTTTGGTGTTTTATTTGAACAGTTTTAGCCAAATTTTTGTCTATCTAGGTTTTCTTTTGTGTGATACTTTGAGTTTTATAATCTTACAGTCTTTTCTTTTTGTTTAGTTCTGTGATCTATTTTAAATTAGTTTTGTAACAGATTTACAGTTTGGGCCTAAATTTCAATTTTTTTTGCAGGGATACTCATTTGTTCCAACATCATTCTTATAGTGCTTTCTCCTTTGTATATTGCTTCTTTGAAAGTTGAGTTGGTGTAAACCTGTAGGTTATTTATTTTGTTTCATTGGGCTGTCCTTTTGCAAGCACTATACTTGGGCTTTTTTTTTTCCATTTTTTTCTTTTTGGGACTAGTTGTCACATAATGCAAGTTTGCCCTGAACTTGTTAATAGCCAAGGATGACCTTGAACTTGATCCTTCTGTCTCTCCCTAGTGCTTCAATTACAAGTTTATAAAGGTGTTCACCACCACTCAGTATATTTTAATAAAATTTTGTGAGTGTGTGTGTGTGTGTGTGTGTGTGTGTGGTTTTTCGAGCCGGGTTTTTCTGTAGCTTTGGAGCCTGTCCTGGAACTAGTTCTTGTAGACCACGCCGGCCCCGAACTCAGAGATTTACCTGCCTGCCTCCCGAGTGCTAGAGTGCCGGGATTAAAGGTGTGTGCCACCACCACCCGGCATTGCAATAAAATTTAAAAATAGAAAAAGTCAAATGTGCTGGTGAACAATTTTTAACCCCAGCATCTGGAAAGCAGAGACAGGTGGCTCTCCGAGTTTAAGGCCAGCCTGGTCTAAAGAGTGAGTTATAAGCCCGCCAGGACTATACACTGAGATTCTTTCTTTTTAAAATGAAAAGAAAAAGGGTGGTCTTTTGGCCAGCAAGCTGGCTCAGTGGATAAAGGTGCTGGCTGCCATCCCTGATGACCTGAGTTCAATTCCTGGGACCCACTTAGTAGGAGAGAATTGACCCTTGAAAGTTGTCCTCTGAACACACACACTCACTCACTCATTCACCCACTCACTCACCACGGCAGGGTTTCTCTGTGCAACAGCCCTGACTGTCCAGGAACTCACTCTGTAGACTAGGCTGGCCCAGAACTCACAGGGCTCCCTCTGCCTCTGCCTTTGGAGGGTAAAGGCATGTGCCGCCCAGGAGCCTCCCTTTAAAATAGTTTTCAAAGCTGACTTAGATGAGAATGAGAGACAGCTTCACGGTGGGTCTGTTCACCAAGAAGATATGACCATATGTGCTTCAGAGCTCACGCAGATGCCGCTGAGCTGATGGGTGTGGAAATGCAGCCACAGCTGAAGAGTTTGCTGCTGCTCATAGTAGCTGGAAAGTTCGTAGAGCTCCTAAAGGTCTGAGAGTGCCCATCAACCAAGCAGCTCATTTAGTGTGCTCACCTCCCAGTCCCAGAACAGGCACTGTCCAAGTGCACATGTGACTTTGGCCAAGATAAATCATTCTGAGTTAGGAAGGGAAATATGCAGGAAGAGGGTTGGAAATCAGAAAGATGTCACACTTGTAAAACATAAAGTCAACAGATCAAAAAGAAGTCTCTATGAAACTTAAAATTATTTTCAGCCAAACAAAAATGGAAATGTGAGAACGTTTTCTAAGCACAACCAGAGACATTGTTGTATGTGTGTTTAAAAAGAAACTTCAACCTTTAATCCCAGCACCTGGGAGGCAGAGGCAGGTCGATCTTGAACTCACAAGGACGCACCTGCCTCTGCCTCCTGTGTGCTGGGATTAAAGGCATGCACCACCACCTGGCCCCTTTCTGAGTTTTTGAGTCTGGCTACGAAACTGGGAAACACTCAGTTGGGAAAATGCTTGGCTCACAAGCATGATGACCTGAGTTCAATCCCAGAGCTCCTGTATAAACGCAGGGTTTAGAGTGCATGTCCTTAGTTTCTACACTGGGAGATGAAGTGGAGGAGGCAAATCTCTGTGGTTTGCTCGCTAGCCAGCCTACTTACTTGGCAAGTTTCAGGCCAGTGAGAGACCCTATCCAAAAAATAGTGGACAGTGCCTGCTTGACAAATAACACTCTGGGTTGTCATTTGTCCCTTACACATATGTGCACACCTGTGCATACACACATGAATGCATGAGCACATCACCCATCCCATAAGAGTCTGCCTACATTAAAATGGTTTAAAACCAACAAATTGTGCCATTTTGCTATCATTCTGACTTTTTGACACAGGTTATAACTGTAGTCTGGGCTGGAACTCACCGCCTCCTCCACCTGATACCTAGCTAGTTTGTCACACATTCCTCCTCAGTTGCCCTCCTTGATAATTTGTTTCAGGGTTGCTGGGTTTGGACTTCAGATATGGGGAGTAAGCACTGCCAGGGCATTCTGTGTACCGTAGTCACAAACAATCCAACCTACGTTCCCTCCCCTCCAGCGTCTCACTAGTCTCCACTGTGCTGTCTGTCTTTAGGAACTGGCCTGGTCTAGTTCCCATGTTAAGTGGAACCATCCTGTTTTGTCTGCTTAAATCTCCCTTTAGCAAAATGTTTTTAGGATCTATCTCTGTTACCTACCGTCCTTCCTTCCTTCCTTCCCTCCTCCTCCTCCTTCCCTCACTCCCTCCTTTCTTCCTTTCCCCTCCCTCTCTTCCCTCCCTCCCTCCCTCCCTCCTTCCTTCCTCCTTCCTTCCTCCTTCCTTCCTTCTTCCCTCCTTCCTTTCCCTCCTTCCTTTCTTCCTTCACAAAGGAACACAGGGTAATCTAATGAATAAAGGATTTTTTTTTTTTGAGATAGGGTTTCTCTGTATAGCTTTGATTGTCTAGAAACTTGCTTTTTAGACCAGGTTGGCCTTGAACTCATAGAGATCCGCCTACTGGAGTCCTCCCAAATAATGACTTATTATTAATTATGAAAGCTTGGCCTTAAAATATGCTTGTTCGCAGCTAGCTCTTAAAACTTAAATTAGGCCATTTATATTAATCTACGCTCTTCCACATGGCTCAGTACTTACATCCAGCTTCTCTGCATCTAGCTGGCAAATCTCCCCACCCCCTACCAGATTTCTTTCTCTGGTTCCTATCTGTCCCCGAATGTCCTGTTTATCCGCTTCTGCCTAGCTATGACCTTTCTGCTCTGGTTCGTTATTAAACCAGTCAGAAGGTACCTTAAGCAGGTGAGGAAGGGCAGAAACACATCTGTACATCATGTACAAAAAGATTATCCCAGCAGCCTACCTCCTCCTCCTGAGTGCTGGGATTAAAGGCATGTGCCCACCAGGTGTAAGGATATTCTTTTTTTTTTTTTTTAATTTTATCTGGTCTTTTGGCTTTTTTTTTTTTTTTCTTTTTTTCCGAGACAGGGTTTCTCTGTGGCTCTGGAGCCTGTCCTGGAACTAGCTCTGTAGACCAGGCTGGTCTCAAACTCACAGAGATCCACCTGCCTCTGCCTCCCGAGTGCTGGGATTAAAGGCGTGCGCCACCATTGCCCGGCTTTGGCTTTTTTATTTATTTATTTATTATGTATACAAAATTCTGTCTGTGTATGCCTGCAGGCCCCATTACAGATGGTTGTGAACCATCATGTGGTTGCTGAGAATTGAACTCAGGACCTTTGGAAGAACAGGCAATGCTCTTAACCTCTGAGCCATATCTCCAGCCCCATAAGGATATCCTTTGAAGCAAAACTGAAACTATACGCAAAAATAGAAATCTCAACCTAAACCTCATACTTTACATAGAAATCAACTCAGTTGGTCATAGATCTAAGAACAAAACCTGGAGTAGGACACCCAGGTTGTTTTGTTCTTCATTTCTAATTGAATTGTATGTGTGTAAATGGGTGGTGCACGTGTGGAGGCCACTTCTCTCCTTCCCTCATGTAGGTCCCAGGGATTGAACTACGGTCGTCAAGTGTGGCCCAGTTAAGGGAAAATGTTTGGAAACTGCGAACGCAAGGTTTTTGTGTTTCTGACAGACTCAGCTCCATCACAATTAGAATCAAATTCCTCTTATTTGGCATCTATTTAGAGCAACCATGTGGTAAATAAAAAGGCTTGCCAGACATGTGCGCTAGGGGAGTTAGCTATATCCTGTCGATAACTGTTTGGTCTTTTCACCACCTGTAAGCTGCTCCTGCAGATGGCTTACTCATTGTAAGAGCTGAAGATATACTGTATGTGGAGTGGAGAACTGGCTGCCACTTTGGGTGATGAGCCTCTTATGTCTTTGGGACATCCCGCCTTTTAGCACTGCTAGAAGGATAGACCATCATTTACATGGCAGTACAATGGGGGTGTTGAAGGACAGAATTAAAATTTCAAGGTTTTTCTTTTTCCTGTTTTGTTTTTATTTCATTTGATATTGGCTCATGTAACTGAGGCAGGCCTTATTTATACTCACTATATAACTGAGGAACCCTGAACTCCTGATCCTCCTGCTGCCACCTCCCGAATGCTGAGGTCCCAGCCGTGTCATTCACACCTTCATAGGATTTCTCCCACTTTCTAGTATTGAGAGTTAGACTGAGACCTTGTGTATTAGACAAGTACCCTGCCACTGACCTACATTCATAGCCCAGATTAAAGACCTTATTTGGCCTTATTTTTGATTCTAGAGTCAGGCAACCCAACATAACTGATATGGTATGGTTACCGGTGTCAAAAGAAAAAAGTACTTTAGTTTATTGATCTTAATTTTTGTTATGTTGTTATGTTTAGAATTCTAGGATTGGGCAACACTTTATATTCCATTAGACAGTTAAGATTTTGATAGGCTGAGGAGAAGAATTTGTTGAATTTTATAGGAAGCCTAAAGAGAGCAGAAACAGGGAAATAGATTGTTCGTTTCCAAGGTGTTTCCCTTGGCAGGTGGGCAGCAGGACTGGACAATTGAGAAACAACTGATGAGTGTTTGGAGGCCTAAGGCCACTGGTATAAAGAATACGATGAGGGGGCTGGAGAGACGGCTCAGTAGTTAAGAGCACTGGCTGTTCATAATAAATAAATCTTTAAAGAGAAAAATGAATATGATGAGAGAAACTGAATGCCAGGCCAGTTCAAACTGGTTGGTTGGAGAATTTGCCTGTGCTTTTCTCCTGGCTTCTTGGAAGATCAGGCAAAAAGCTTAGTTTTCTGGTGTTTTGGTGACATGGAACTTTAGGTTTTAGCATGGTAATTGCACTTTATTTTAGTCATGCTTCCTGTGCATTTGCCTCCTCAAATGGTCGAGTGGTGGTGGTGCGGAGGCAGACCTTGAATTTATAGAGATCCACCTACCTTTACCTCCCAACTGCTGGGATTAAAGACTGGGGTTCTCCCCACCCAGCTCAAGGAAAGGATTAACTGACATTGCGACATACATGGTTGGTTGTATCAGGGCCTGCAGAGATGTCTCCGTGTTTAAGAGCACCTACTGCTCCTGCAGAGGATCCAGATTTAGTTCCCAGCTCTTACTTAGGTAATTCACAGCTGATTGTAATTCTATGTCAAGGAGATATGATGCCCTCTTATGGCCTCTTCAGGCACCTGTGCTCAAGGACATACCTACACACAGATACACAGAATTCAAAAATAAATCTTTTAAAAAGTATTTAAAGTATTATTACAGCTGTTTAAACTTACGACAATCTGAAGAAACACACTGAAATATTTAGAAGGCAAGTGTACATAATGCATACAACTTAAATGGGTTAGAAAAGACTTGTGATGATCAAACAAATGATAAGACAGACGGAGCAAAGATAGGTGTTCTTTTTTTAATAATTTATTTAAATTTATTCTATGTGCATTGGTGTGAAGGTGTCAGATCCCCAGGAACTGGAGTTACAGACAGTTGTGAGCTGCCATGTGGGTGCTGGAAATTGAACTCAGGTCCTCTGGAAGAGCAGTCAGTGCTCGTATCTACTGAGTCATCTCTCCAGCCCCCGATATAGGTGTTCTTTATACTGTTTATGTAGGTTAAAAGCTTCTAATTATTGCCAGATTCCCTTAGTTAGATCCTCAGAAACCAACTCTGGCAAATTGTTCTCTGGCCTCCTTGCATGTGTGTGTGCACATACACACACTAAGTAAGTAAGTGTGATTTAAAAATCTCACCGCTTTCCAATTCAGAGTATATTACCATAAATAAAATAGCTTGGGCTGAATGTTTGATCTACTGTACCTTGTGCTGGTCCAGGTAAACCACATATTCCACAGGTGTTGGCTCTCAGTTGTTAGTGCTGGAGAGCCATGGGGCCAGCAGCCTGGGTTTGTGGTACCCAGCGTCCAGCAGGGAAGCTCCTTGAATGCCTGTGGCTGTCCCAGTTGCACTTGTATTAACTACTAAGCTTACATGGTATTGACTTGAACATAATCTCTTGGTCTTTGTTGTACTTTGATGATCATATTTCTCTTTCAGCCCAAAATGGAGTTAATCCCGACTGGGAGAAGAAAGTTATAGAATACTTCAAGGAAAAGCTGAAGGAAAATAATGCTCCTAAATGGGTGAGTTGGCTGGCTATAGTTTCTCTCAGCAGAATAGACCCCACCCCCACCCCAATGTGAGGAGAAGTGGTTTAGTGAGTGCAGCTCCTGTCCTCAGTGCATCCTCATTGCAAGGCTTTGCGCTGATGCTTGTGTTGTGCCTCTAGGTGGCAGTAAATGCCTGCTCCTTCCTGGTGAACTGTCTAGTAGCTGTCACCTATGTTCTGTTCCCGCCTAGAAGCATGTGCTAATGTTCAGAGGACTCATAAGGTGCATGCCTTTCTGTTGATTGAGAGGATTCCGGAGTCCTTTGTAAGAGGTGACGTCTGTAATCTGGGGAGACACAGAAGGATGACAAGTTTGGGGCTAGCCTCTGCTATTAGTGAGTTCCAGACCATTCTGAGCTACAAAAAGTCTGTCTCAAAAGAAGGGAAAGAAGAGACAGAAAATAAAGTAGGCAGGCCGGGAGGCTATGCATGCTTTTGGAAAGGAAAGCATCCCGTTATGGACAAGTGTTATCACAGGAACAGGGCTAGATTTTGAATGTGTGTGTGCTTAACAGTTACAGATGACAACTTTGCTGACTTGCTTGTTTGTTTTCTCTGAAGGTACCATCATTGAATGAAGTTCCCCTTCATTATTTGAAGCCTAACAGCTTTGTCAAGTTTCGTTGCATGATTCAGGATATGTTTGACCCTGAGTTTTACATGGGTGTTTATGAGACGGTTAACCAGAACACAAAAGCACGGGTATGTGTTGCTTTCTTCTTGAGATTTTCTGTTTATAATTTGTAATATTGTGTGTGTGTGTGTATGTATGTATGTATATCTATATATATAATACTTTTTGTTTGTTTTGGTCATAGGTTCTTCATTTTGGAAAATACAGGGATATAGCAGAATGTGGGGTATGTATCTTTTATGTTATTTGAACTTTTTTTAGCTTGATTTTTTTTCACCTAAAAAGAGAATTCATTTTTCTTTGGTTGGTCTTTAATGTTGCTATTTTGTGTGTGAATGAGTTCTTAAAAATCAGACAGAATTTTTTTTTTTTTTTTTTTTTTTTTTTGTTTTTT